AACTATTTCACTCATGCTGTGGTTCAGGTCGTCTCGGCTCACTTCAGCTATCGCGTTTGGGGAAAATGGGATCTCATATTTTGAATGTCGACATTAGATTTAGTTTAACTGTTAGACGGTGTGTAGATACTGGAAAAGTATTGCGCCTTATTCGCATCGCAGACTTTTGTCAAGTGAAGAATCTCCGATGCTCCAGCAGGGTAGAATGTGTTTGCAGCCCTCTGCCTCCAGTCCCTACAGGAATAGTGGGCGTACCAACTGCTGTTTTTTTTCTCTACGGCAGCCTTCATATCCCCAACGCATGGATGCAAATTCAAGAGCTGACGTTGACCGTTCACAGCTTGTGGATAAGGCAGACGCACAACGCAAGAAGTGTCAGTGACGGTGCAAAAAAATAGCCCACCGACATCTCAAAGTCAGTCTGCAAAATATGTTATCAAAAATTAAGCAGAACACAAGCTCAGCACTAGTATGTGACCTCAACGCTGTCTGCTGCCTAAGACATACAGACTAGATGTTTATCTGCTTACTTGTGGAGGAGAGTCAGAGAAGATGGCGAGGAGACAAAATATTGTGGTTGCAGAGTCTCTGTCCTGCTGAGGCCGGTCTGGTCTCCAGCTTCACTGGTGGTGGTTTGTGTCAGAAGGTTACCTGGAGTGCGGATGTCGAGGTGGTTAATGAAAGAGCTGAATTACATGGCATTAGAGTGGACTTGACGCGACCTGGCTGTCGGGTGGTTGACTGTTGGCACTAAGTCGGAGGAGCAGAAGGGAGTCGGTGGCTGTCGGCGGCTCAGGGAGGACGAGGAGGAACTAGTGAACAAACCACAGGAGTCTGTCGTGAGTGTGTAAGAATGTAGAGAATAGAGGGAGGAAGGAAGACGCACGGACCGCAAAGTACGACCGTTGAGTGAATAGAAAGTAGTTCAGACTCTAGCGAGACACTTAGAGATGAAGGTTGTGCAATCTACTTTACTAAATACAGGGATGTGAAGGAGGGTTACACGAGGTAGACCCGATTAGATGCACACATTAGGGATGCAGTTTTTAAATAATATCCCTCACCAATAGTCAGCCTCGTTAACAATCAATAATCACTGAAACCACTGACGCTTGCAGTTTTTAACAGAAGTTGACAAACCCTTGGAGAGACCATGTTTAACTTTGCAGTCATGACTCCCATAACTTTTAATTTTCTGATGTTGAATTGTTGAAACACTTTGTCATAAATAGCAATTATGCATTTTGGTTTTTTAATAGATTTAATTTAGGTCTTTTGGAAATATGACGAAATCTGCTGGGTCAAAGATATACATGCAGCAGCGCTAATATTTGGTTGAATGTCCCTTTGGCCATTTTCACCTCAATTATGTGCGTTTGCTGTAATTTTATTAGTGTCTTTATAATGATTTGATGCAAAAATAATCCTCTAATTGATGTGATGAAGTTATTTGTTCACTGTGGCCAACATTAGTCCAGCTGCAAGAACATCCATCCATCCATCCATCCACCCATCCATCCATTATCTACACACCGCTTAATCCTCACTAGGGTCATGGGGGGCTGGAGTCTATCCCAGCTGATTCAGGATGAAGGCAGGTTCACCTGGACAGGTAACCAGTCTATCACAGGGCTACACTTCGAGGCTGCTGGAACAGATGTCCACAAATACTGTCACAGCAACTTTATCAGTCCAGGAAATCTGTCAATATTTGTCGGCACCATTAAACTGTATTTATACTCAGAGCAGAGTGTCGCTGATATACTTCATCACTTCAGTCTGAATATCTGCCGACAGACACACAGCTCCCGACCCGTGTTAGCGCTTCAGAATCCTAGCTTAGCGTTAGCATGGGACCCTGGCGGCTAGCTAAACCAAGCAACCGCTGCAGAGTTCATCAACATGACTGACACAGCTAGCATTTAGCACGCAGGGAGGTGCGCTTCTTGTACGGAGCGTTGCGGGCGATCAGCAAATACACCTGTAACTCCATCTCATTAAACAGTAAGAGGCTCCATCTGGTGGAGCAACCAGGTACTACAACCAATCTACAATACATTTTCTGACACGCGGTCCCTCGTCTTTACGGGTAAATTTATTTTTATCTTTTGATATTAGCAGCAGTTAATCAAATACAAATGGATCATTGACATTCTTAGTGCAGATCAGTCTCTTGTACTATTTCGTAGTTCTTGAAATGCTCTATTTTTCGCAAACGTGCAGCAAACTGTGTTTTTTGGGAATCTAAACGGAAGTCTTTGCTTCAATGTCAGGGGCCAAACAGCTTTTTGCAAATAACTCTAATTTCCCTCATCAGTATATCGACCTGTTGTTGTCTTGGTTGCTTGTTTTCTCTATGAAATGTGAGTAAATAGTTCCCAGAGCTGAAAGTGGTGTTTCCATGTTACTTTTATTATCTGTTGAAGGTAAAGTTAGTGACTCTGATCAAATTAAAACATATTTTTTCCTCAGATTAAGTAAATATAACGACTAGCTGTCCGTTCTGTGTGCGCGCTGAAAATAAAACCTTTAGGAAAACTGCAACTAGCAAAATGTTTATTATTTTATTTTATTTTAGTATTCATGAAAGTAGTTGAAGTTTGTGTCGGTGTTTTTACTTCGTGTTTATTGTTGAATTTGTTCATGTTAGATGTACGACATTTGTCGTCATTTGTTGTTTTTCCAGTTTTTCGTTGTCGTGCAGTTGTTTGTTTCCTGATGTTGGTAGTAAAGCTTCATGCAGTCAGACATGTTGCTGAGTCGTCCCTTCATTAATCCAACAGTAAATACTCACCGTGGTATAAACAGTGTAGGCTGGGGCGTGACAATATTCTGACTTTCTCTGGTGACTCATTGTAATCCAATCCCGAAACCTCGTTAGTCGCTTTGATTCGACGTTGCTTTCGTCACACTTCAATCGTTTTGCGTTTCAATATGTGAAAGCTTTCAGACAGACATAATGAAAGACTTCTTACGTTCTGTTTCAGTCATTTCAAAGCAAAAGACGGTTTCTTGTCGGCCAAAGTGTCGAGAGACAAAGACCCTGTGGCTGCTTTGAAGTTGGATTCAGGCCAGAATCGAGTTTCCGCTCTTCAAAGTCGTGGAAATTTCAGCTGGTCCGCATAAAATGAGTGTTTAGGAAGAGCCGAGCATTGATCAGGAAACGTGGAAACACCGGCACGATGTTGTATTTTACAGTCAGTCGTGGCTTCATCTTTCTTTAACCTTAAAACTGTCGACTTTTGTCCTGAGAGAAGGTCCTGAGGTGTCACAGGGAAAAGTTATGATCATTTCTTTATCGTGTAACAGCTTGAAAACGTTTCTTACGTTCAGCCAGGTCAGGTGAAATGTACGGCAGCCGTGGTACAAGAGCTGCTGGCATATCTGCTGACTGGCTGCTGGTACAAGACGTAGGGAAACACCACCCTCTGCTGCCTGAGATCACCATCTAGGTCCTGTTCTATGGACCTGCTTTATGAGAGGCTCAGTTAAATATTAAAGAATTTTGGATTTGATCGGGAAAACCGACACCGAATTTTGTTGTCATTGCGTTTGTAATCAAACAAACATTAACGAAGCTCTCATCAGCTCATTCTTTTATTTACAGTAACTTTAGTACATTTAATGAAGTTTTACCTTCATACTGTGAATATTTTCAGAGTTACAGATGCTTAAACTTCGTCGGACTGGGTCAAAATTTTGTGCTTTTTAATTTTGCTTCATTTTTTTTTGCAGCATTTTTGACGCGTGACATTTTTAAAGTTGAAAAACACATTTGAGCTCCTGTCAAAAACCAGTTTGTTGTTGGAAACCATCATCGGTGCCCTGGATGTGTTAATTCACCAGAGGAAACTTTAAAACATGCATTTTGGATAAACTTTGAGCGGTCTTATAAGCATAAGTGTCAGGCCAGAACAAGTCAAATGAAGGGTCTCGTTTTTATCTACATTTGAATGATTTTCTAGCCGTGATTCCATCTGTGACAAAAACAAAAAAAAGATCAAATAATAATGACGATTTAACCACATTAGGATAAAGACAGTAAAATCATTGAAACGTATTTTGGGGCATTTAAAAATAAATAAAAGACGTTTGCATGTGATGCAACATTTGAACCTGCTTGAGATGCTGAAGTCATGAGACAGGCAGCACATGTAGTTTATATAAATCAGTCTGTTTTGGCCTCTTTTTAAACTAAACTCCTGGCAAAACCCCCACTGTAAAATAACGGAAAGTACTGTTTCAATTTCTGCAGTATTAAGTGCTGAATGACGAGTAATTTCGACGTCTTTGACTCATATAGAGAGTCTAGTAGCTTTGATCGTCTGTTACCCACCAGCACATGTCAAATGGTTGTTGTTTTCTTTCCCCTTTAGCGAGTGTACCAGCTCACCCCGCTAGATATAAAAACAGATTTATGATTTCCCCTCATTATAGTTCCTCACTGAAACGTTATCAAACGAACGAATCTGTTTTATGCTATTATTATTATTATTATTATTATTATTATTATTATTATAATGACTGACTTTACTGTAGTTCTGTCTCCTTGTATTAAAATGGACATTTAGGTGTGTGTGTGTGTGTGTGTGTGTGTGTGTGTGTGTGTGTGTGTGTGTGTGGGTGTATGTGTGGGTGTGTGTGTGTGTGGCTGTGTGTGTGTGTCATAGTGAGAAGAAAGTTTCATGACCTTGTGGTTCGTCTGCCAGACCGACCTCCAGCTAAGTTGATAA